GGGGGCACATCTGGATCCTCTATCCTGCTACACAGCTGGGGTGGGGCAGAGCGAACATCTGGATCCTCTGCCCGGGGGCTGCCGGCTGGGCCGGTGCGCATGCGTCTCCTGTGCTGGGGGGTTCACATCTGGATCCTCTGCCCGGGTGTTGCACAGCTGGGGGGTGGCTGCCCAGCTGGAGGCTTTGCCCAGGGGGTGCACAGCTGGGTCAGTGCACCTCTGTATCATATGCTGGGGGTGCACATCTGTCTCGTGTGCTGTGGGTGCACAGCTGGGCCGAGTTCGGCCCTGGGTCCTTGCCCCAGAGGAGCGCAGCTGGGCGGGTGCGGGGAGGGTGTCCCTTTGTCCAGGGCATGGCCGTGTCAGATGCAGGCAGGCGCCGGGTGCAGCGCTGGCCACGGACCCATCGCTGTGGCAGCTCTGCCTTGCGGGTGTGCGAGTCTGTGCAGGGCAGGCCTGGGGGCACAAGCCCTACCCCATGGCATGCCGTCCAGCCCTGCTTTCCTGTCTGCTGTGTCCAATAATAAATCCCCCTTGACTTTCTCTTCACCGCTTAGCGTTGTGTAAACCTTTCTCACGTGTGTCTCCCCCACCGAGCACCTCCTTTCTCAGCTGACCAGGCCTGGCCTCATCCCCTCCTAGGGAAGCCCCTCCATGCCACTCATCACCCTTGTTGCCCTTCTCTAGCTCTTCTCTATCCTTTTGGAGGTGCAGGGACTGGATCTGGGAACAGGATTCAAGGTGTAGACGCACCAGGGATTTATAAAGGGGCATCACGATACTTCCCGGCTTGTTCACATTTCCCTTCTTAATCATCCCTAACATGTTTGCCTTTCTGACGGCTGCCGAGCACTGGGCTGGTGCCGGGTGAGCAGCCCGGTGCTACGTGCGGCCGTCGGGAGGGGGCTGAGCGAGGTTACGGTGAGGTGACCAGAAGGTCTCCTTCCGGGCGTCCTGCCTGGCACTTTCACTGGACCGCATGTTTGCCCATGAAAGGCTGGAAGGGACCTGAGTGCCACCCTGCACCCCCCCCACTGCCATTGAGTGCTCAGCTCAGGCTGTGCAGGGAGCTGTACGTAGATGCTCTTGCAGCCGTCTCTAAGGGGCAGACTCCTCCATTTAGAGCCAACAGGGTGAGATGCAAGGCCATGCTCGTGCCCCTGGGAGCAGGCCCTAGCCCTCCACCTACCCAGACCTTCTGACATGGGAACTTGCCCTGTTAAACTGTGCTGGGCTGTGAGGCCGGGCCAGACTCTGCCCCCTTCTGCCTTGCAGCTACCGCAAGCTGGCCTTGAAGAACCACCCTCTGAAAAGCAAAGAGCCATGGGCCAAGGAGAAGTTCAGGCAGATCGCAGAGGCCTACGACGTGCTGAGTGACCGTAAGTAGAAGCCTGGTCCTCTCTCCCCAGAGGTAAGCGGCGCAGGGCTCGGGGATAAGTGCCGGCACGGAGCATCCTCTTTGCAGGAGGGGTTATGAGCCATGTATCTCTGGGTTTGCTGCCACAGTGATTTGCCTGGGGCTGGCACTGTCAGCTGCTCGGGTGCGTGCACGCTCTGATTGATACCGGAGATCATCCTGGCTGTGCCGGGACTTAGCATGGGTGGATCTACAGTGCTGTGCTGTAGCCTGACGCTGGGATGTACAAGCAGGGGAAAGTGATGGAGGGGCTGGGAAGCGGCTTCGGATCCTGAAGAGGGCATGTTGTTGGACGCGGGGTTGGGTTCTGGTGTCCACGCTTCACACATGGGTGCCAAGGACTTGGAGAAGGGGCAGAAGGAGCAACAGGAAAGATCTGAGGGCTGGAGAGCATCCCCCATGGAGAGAGAAGAAACCCATTGATCTAGTGAGTTCATCAAAGGCGTAGTCTAAAAGGTGCCTTGATCACTGCCTGCGCGAGCTGCCAGGGGGGCAGAAATATCTGCCAACCGGGGCTGCTAGAGAGATCCAGTGGGTGGAAGTCCAACTTCACCCAGGGTTTGAGTGGTTTACCTTGTCAGGTCTCTGCAGGAGGTGGTGATTCCTCATTTCCTATGTAATAAACCCAGTTTACCACCTGGTCAGTGTGTCCTGCGCCCCATATCCCTTTCCCCAGCTCTGAGGATGAGACGTGGGTTGCTTCTCGGGATGAAATCCCTGCAGAAAGCTGCCACCGCAGCACAGCAGTAGCTTCCTCTTTGCTGCTTCAACCTTTCTTAAGGCAAGGAGGCTGCTCAGCAGTGGCAGAAGGCCCTGGGGATGGAGGTAAGGCCTTCATTCCCATCAGCAAACTTGCGGCCACCTCCTGATGCCTCCTTGTCCCGTAGCGGTGAAGAAGGGTGTGTACGACAAGTTTGGAGAGGAGGGTCTCAAAGGCGGCATCCCTCTGGAGTTTGGGAGCGAGAACCCCTGGACCGCGGGCTACGTGTTTCATGGCAACCCCGAGAAGGTCTTCAAGGAGTTCTTTGGAGGAGACAACCCCTTCGCCGGTAGGTGGCTTCTGTTGTTATTTTTTGGGGGGGTGGGCTGAGGTGGGGTCTCTGGCCCTGTGCTGGCAAGCAGTGGGTTAATGTTTTTTTTATGGCTGCCTAGAACCCACATGTCGACCCGGCTACTAGGAGCCGGTGGCTTCAGCTCCGTGTCCCCAGCACCCTGCCAGCCCTTCCTGCCGGTCGAGGTCCTCCTGGCCCCTCGTCCCTGCCCCTTGTGTGCTCTCAGTAGGAGCCTGAAGACAAGGCTCTTCACCGTGCGCTGGGGACTGTACAGCCAGGGACGTTCCCTTTCCCCTTGCAATGCTCAGATAACACCATGAAGCCAAGACTGGCAGAGCTGGCAGTGGCTTCCCCTTGGACGTTATCGCCATGCCAGGGTTGGCTGCTAGCATTTGAGAAGCTTTCCTCTGTTTCCGTGGAGCCAGAGCCAACTCCTAGCCTTAGAGGAGCCTTGGATGTGGGTCAGCTGGTGCCTTAGCTCAAGATCCTTCCTGGCAGGGAGGTTGGTAACCCATTTTACAGCTAGGGTAACTGAGGCTCAGAGGAGCCTGATGTGAACTTGTCAGGCCCAGGTGATTCAGGTTGGGCCTAAACCCTGAGATGCTCTGACCTGAGGCGACTTGCCACAGAAATGAGAGGGGTTGGTGCCCGCACTGTGACGAGGGCTGCAGGCTGCCCGGCAGTCAAGCCGCTCACCTGTGCCCCTCTCCACCGTCGTATCTCTCCCATTTCTGGCCGCTGCTCACAGAGTTCTTCGCTGAAGACGGCTTGGATGCGATGGTGGCCTTCGGCGGGCTGCGGGGCCGTGGCGTGGCCAAGCAGGACCCCCCGATCGAGCGGGACCTCTACCTGTCGCTGGAGGACCTCTTCTACGGCTGCACCAAGAAAATTAAGATTTCCCGCAGGGTGAGGCCGGGCTGCAGGGGGGCCTGGGCGTGTGAGGTGGGGACCTGGGCACGGGGCTTGTGGGCTGCGCTGGGCTTTTGCAGGCTATACGTCGGTGGCTGGATGAGCAGCGTATTCCCCCATGTGCTCCAGGGTCTCCTGGTGTAGGGGTATGGAGAGGGCACGGGCAGGGGCATAAGCCTCGCTGCGCCCTGTGGCATAGGCACCGCCTGCTCGTTGCCAGGCTGAATTTATTCCTGACTAGCTTCTGCGCGGGTGCCCTTGTGCCCGTCAGCACCAGTAACCCCCGCTCCCTCCCTGGGGGTATCAGTCCTGCCCTGCCATCAGCCTGAGTCTCCTCTCACAGACCAGTCTCCCCAGCACCCTGCCAGCCCCAGTTGAATTTCCCACCCCCTTGCTTCCCCTCCCTGGCATGGCTGCCTGGGCTGGGGGCAGCCTGCTAGTCCATGTACCCACCGCATCTAGCACCTCAGGCCCAGCGCTTCAGGCACACAGCCACCATCTCCATGCGCTCCGGCGCTGCAAGCTGAGCCCTCCCAGGCCGTGGTGCCCCTGCAGCTGGCGCCGTTGCCTGAATGTCCTCCACAAAGGCTCGGTCTAGATTTGAGCCACCTCCTCTCACCAGCCGTGTTTGCTGCCCAGGTGATGAACGAGGACGGTTACACATCCACCATCAAGGACAAGATCCTGACCATCGACGTGCATCCGGGCTGGAAGGCGGGCACCAGGATCACCTTCGAGAAGGAAGGAGACCAGGTAAGGGCAAGGACCCCCATAACACTTGGGATGGTTTAAACTGGAAGCGGGTGGACACACGAGCCTGCGAAACCAGCCTCAAGGCAGGGTCATCCCTGACCAAACCGTCCCAGCCACACGTCTGTCTAACCTGCTCCTGAAAGTTTCCAAGGAGGGAGATTTCACAGCTTCTCGAGGCAGCTTGTTCCAGCGCTTGATCCAGTTGGAAAGATTCCCCCTCATCTCCAGCCTAAATTTCTTCTGCTGCAGCTTGAGACCATTGCTCCCAGTCCTGTCCCCTGCAGGCAGAGAGGGAAGCCCTTCTCCATCCTCTCTGCAATCACCCTTCGGGTATTTGAAGACTTATCAAATCCCCATTGGTCTTCTCATCTCCAAACTAAATAACCCGAGTTCTTTCAGCCTGTCCTTGTAAGTCGTCTCCCAGGCCCCAGTCATTTCTGTCGCTCTTTGCTGGACTCTTTCCAACGTGTCCATGCCCTTCTTGAAGTACGGGGCCCAAAATGGGACACAGGACACCGGGAGGGGCCTCCCCAGTGCTGAACAGAGAGGAAAGTAGGTGGCACCTTCCCTCTGAAAGCCTCCAGGTGCTCAGCAAACATCAGTTAGTGAACTCACCAGCCTCGCACCGGGCCTGAGAGGTCTGATGACCCTTTTAAGCCAAGGCACAGGGAGGCTAACAGAATTTCTCACCTGCCTAAGGGATTTAGGAGCTTATGTGGGGGCAGAGTGGGGGACATGGGAGCCCTTGGGTCCCTGTAGCTCTGATCGAGACTCTTCCAGGGTGGCCTTGGGCCAGCTGTGTGACTTCCCTGCCTCCGTTTACTCACATCACTGTCCTTCCCCAGACGCTAGAGGAACAGGATTCAGATTGCACGTTGATGTCATGGGCACGAGGCAGTGCCAGGAGGACATTGCACATCCAAAGTGTTTTCCATGGTTCAGATTCATAGATTCATAGATGTTAGGGCCTGGAAGGGAGCTTACAAGAAGGCTTTTCATGTGCTTGTGATGCTCACTTAAGAGTATGGGACTGTGGTTAGCATGGAAGTAAACCACCCAGCCTCCTTATATCAAGAAGGGTGTTAAAGAGCCCAGCCAGAGAGGGTGACCTGCTTTCTCGTCTCTCTTTGGGTCTTTGGGATGTATAGAAATGCTCTGGAAGGGTTTTTCCCTACCTGTCCCACAGCAGGAACGTCAGTTCTGGTGTCCCCAGCTGTAGCGGGCAAGTTTCTCGAGCCTCTGAGCTTGGAAAGCATTTGGAGGCAGTTTCACAGCATTGGCACTTGCCATCTCAGCTCCTCCTCAGTGGCCCAGACCTCTAGCATGCTCGGTTAAACACGGAGGACATGAGACCTCCTATACAGGTAACGAAGAGGAAGGTGCCTATAAACAGAAGCCCAGACCCATTGCAGACCGTCTTTACCAGCTGGAGGCAGCAAGTCTGTTCACTTCCCCTGCAGACAGTCCAGGTCTGCGGTAGAGATGGACTGAGCTCCTGTTTTCCCCTCTTGTAGGGCCCGAACATCATCCCGGCAGACATTATCTTCATTGTCCGCGAGAAGCTGCACCCCCGGTTTAGGAGGGAGGACGACAACCTGCTCTACGTTGCCAGCATCCCCCTTGGGCAGGTACGTGCGACAGGGGCTTCTCCGCTCCTGCCAGGAGCTGCCCACTGGCCTCTGCGGGAGCTTGGTCACTTTGCTCCTGCCCCAGCCGTCCTGTATGAACGAGCTGCCCTGGATGGGCTGTATTATGCCAGCACCAGGGTGGGAACGCCAGGGCCTGGTGACGCGGCATGCGGGGTTGGATTTTCCCCCACTCTCCTGCCTAAAGGCATCCGATGCCCTGTGCTGTCCAGCTGTTTGCACGCACCCCCCACAAAAGGACCCCCCAACACCAAACAGAGCAGCCTCGAGGCTGCGCTAAGAGCTGGAGACCATTAGGGTCTACACCTGGTGGGTGCAACCTGCCCTCACAGCCTGGCGGCCTCATTTGCAGGCCCTGATCGGCTGCACGGTGAGTGTGAAGACGCTGGACGACCGGCTGCTGAACATTCCCATCAACGACATTGTCCAGTAAGTGTCACAGCCCTGGGCATGACCCCTGGGGCAAGGACCGGGCTTGCCCGGGTGCTCAGGCTGGGCCCTGCCAGCCAGCCCTTGGGAAAGGGGGATGGGCTGGGAAACACAAGGGCAGGCTTCCCAGTAGCCACCAAAGAGGATGCAAGGCTTTGGTACTTCTCCACCGGCCAGTCTCAGCTCTTCAGGGGACGCGGGCCTCTTTGAGGCATCTTAGGGGATTGATATTTCTAGCTGCTTTCGGACATCGAGGCCTGCTGGGTGGACAGCCAGTCCCAAATGCTTTTTGCTCCTGCCCACCTGGCACAGCTCGCGGATCAGCCTGTTTGTTCTGGTCTCGCTGCCAGGCTAACGTCTGCCCTTGGAGGCGTGTACCACATTGGAGCCAGCTCCTTTGTCCGCAGTGCCAGGCAGACGGGAGCTGTGCAAGTTGCTGTTACCTCCAGCAGTGCCCGAGCCGGGCTGAGCCCAGCCTGCCCCATAGAGCTGGGTGGGGGCAGTGGGAAAGGCCCCTTTGCGGCCCAGGCAGGCATCACCAAGGGCCAACACAACCGGCTGCGCCAGCCCGTTAAATCCCTACCTGCAATGCCAACTGGGTGCTGCCTCGTGCCCAGCAGGCTCCTGTGCCGTGCACAACATCCACCTGGAAGCACAGCGCGTCCCTCCCAGCCTTCCCTGCCCCAGCCCCCAGCAGCAGGGCCATGTCCCTGGCTTGGCCGGAGGGGTAGGAAGGCATCTCCCTGGTTAATGCTGCCATTCACTTTGCAGCCCCAAATATTTCAAAATCGTGCTGGGCGAAGGGATGCCCCTGCCCCATGACCCCACCTGCAAAGGGGACCTTGTCATGTGCTTCGACATCTGCTTCCCGCGGCACCTCACCCCAGCCAAGAAGCAGCTCCTGCGGCAGGCGCTCCTGAGCTGAGAAGGAGCCTTGTGCCCATCTCCCTCCCCACTCCCCAGAGGAATAAAGCCTTCTAGCTACTTGTACAGCTTTTCAGCCTTTTGGCTCAGGTCAAGCGTAGGGGTCGTCCGAACCTCAAGACCTCTGGACTTGGGCCTGGATGTAGGATGCCCACCAATGGATCTGGGTGTATCTGAAGTCCTCGGGTGATAGGTCTGGGATGGAGGATGCTTGCCGGTCGTAGCACCGTACATCCTGCTCAATCGACATGATTTTTGGGACAACTAAGATCAGCTCCATCAATATGATTTGGAACTGATTTGGCTAATTTGACCTGGTACACGAAGTATATTATAACACGAATACAAAAATTCCAGCTATTTGTACAGCTCCTGGTGACGGCTGCGTAGGACCAGGGCATGTGCCTCCCTGCGGCTCCGACCGGGTCACCTTCGCGCAGGGTCTGAGAGCTGGTGCAGGGGGCAATGCCATGTGATCGCTCCTCTAAACATCCAGTTTGCCTTGCAGGGGGAGGAGGGTGGATTGAGGGAATCACTTCCATGCCCTGCCTCAGTTTCCCCCATCTGCAAAGGAGAACAGCCCGTGGTGCAATGGGAGTCGTGAGGATGCGGTCCCTGCGGTGTTGGCAGGCGCCCAACTCCCACCACAGCAGCACAACTTCCCACCGACATCAATACAAACTCCCCGAGACTCCAAATAAAAGGGTGGAAGTTTAGCTCCCATTTCCCCCGAGATTAAAACAGGCTGCAAGCCTCTTCGCCCACCTTTTAGGGGTCAAGGCAAAGCCAGAAGCCCCAGCTGAGCGAAGCCCCTGGAGAACTTCCCCCCATGTAATGGTGTGGAGCACCAGGGACTGCTGAACAGGGGTATGACAGGACGAGCCCTGCGGGGTTCAAACTGGGATTTCTGGGAGCGAGGTGCTGCAGCACATAGCAGGACGGACAGGGCTTCCCCCTCCCTAGCGGCTTCCAGGTGAAGGGCTCCAGATAACTGCAGGCCTTCAGCAAACCTTGTGGGAGATGGAGACGTCCGTAAGTGACCCACGGACTAGGCTTTGCCCACCGGACCGCGCTCCTAGGTGCATTGGGCCCATCCCTGCTCTGTAATGGTATTCACCAGCTCCAGGCTACTCAAGACCAGGCCGAGCATGGGAGCCCATCCCTGGGGCATGCTGCTAGCAAGCCCCCACCATCCTTGTGAGCTGCGGCAGCTGGAACAGGCAGCCGCTCCAGTGTCAGGGATGGCAGTACTTGGGGAAATCCTCCTCCCTGCCCCGTAGCCCGACGAAGCCCCAGCCTGGCTGTCAGAGCTAGTCACAGTGACCACTGCGTACCATGGGTCACCACTGGACCACTGGCCACCTCCCTCCCCCCAGAAAGGCTCCCCAGTTGAAACTGAGCTCCTCTGAACCTGCCTCAAGCCAGGCCCATGAATCACGAGTCTGGCCAGACGCCTCTGAGTGCAGAGACTGAACAAGGCACCGAGCATGTCCCTCTGCAGAGGGATGCAACCTCGCTTCCTAACCTTTGGCTTTATTTTAAGATGTACAACGCGAGGCAGATGCCGTCTCCGCACCCTCGCTGCCCAGAAGCGCATGAGGAAACCGGGGCCTGGCTGGTCTGTCAGACGCTTGCTTGTACTTTCCAAGCCTTGGTAATCCTTCCGCCCCTTCCCCACCACTGCCGTTTTCCATCCACAGCATCCGACTCGTCCCATCTCGGCCTGCTCTGCAGAGCCCCACCGCAGCCTCTTGCCATGCTGGGTACACAGATACTTCAGGGTGGATTTGGGGGGACTAATTTCTGGCTTCCAGACACTCCAAGTCCCTTGCTTGAAGCCCGATGAGAGCTCCAGGGAGATCTACAACCAGGCATGCCTCTCCTCACCGCACTGGGGATTCAGGGGCTTAGAGGCTGGGCGCTCAGGTCTGGAGAGGCCGGCACGGTACTTAGCAATTGGCACGACAGAACTGGCAGGGAAGGGGCTCCCCGCAGACTGCGTTACCAAAGCAGGCATCGGCCTTTGAAATGGGACGCTGAGTCCCATCTGCTCTCGCTACATCTCAGGGCTCGGCCCAGCCGAGATCAGCACTCAATGTCCCGTGGGATGCGCCAGCTGCAGGAAAGCCGTAAAGGAAACCTCCCGCCCAAGCCCACCAGGGCAAGGACGCTCTTCTCTTCCACACCAGATGAGAGGCCCTGCTCCAGTCTTCTCCTGTTGGCAGGGCAGAGTCATCAGGCCCGGTGTAGAAGAGGCGCCGCAACGAGCTCGGAGACAGGGGGCAGAGGCAGCAGGGGAGGCAGGGTGAGCGCGGCGCTGCGGGAGGCTGCGATGAGGTCTTGGCTGTGCCCAGGTCAAAACGGGGCCCCCCAGGAGCCGCGGGCAGCCATCATGGCACGCTTCAGCTGCTCGTAGGTGACGAACATCACCACGTTCCACGAGCCCAGGCGCAGGAAGGAGGGCATGAACCTGCGGGTGAAGAGGGGACTGAGGGTCACGGCCAGGCCGGGGTCGCCCTCATGGATGGGGCAGAGCAGTGAGGGGAGTCTTGTTGTGGCTACAGGATGCCCCACCAACCCAGCTGTGACGGGCACCCGGGTACTGGGGAGCGCGAGGCAGCTAGATGTGATGCCAGCACAGTGCTGTGGGCAGCAAAGACACCACCTCCACCGGGCTGCCACTTACCCCTTGTAACAGGCCAGCGGCCCCTCCGTCCTGAGCATGGTGAGGGCGCAGCTCACAGCGCTGCTGTACTGGCCCGGGGCAGAGTTCATGTATCGGGTCTTCACAACGTCAACAGGGGAGGCGATGACTGTGGTGCAGAAGCCAGCCCCGAATGCGGAGGTGAAGTGGCACGGGAGGTTATCTGCAGTGAGAGACACCAGCTGAGCCTGGGGGCACTGGCAGGCAGACTCGGGTTCCTGAGCTCTTGGCACAGGGGTTGCACTACAGCAGGCCCAAAACCATCCCAGGCTGAGCGGGAGGTAGGTGCCAAGCTGCTTGAGACCAACCAGGATACAGATACTAGCTCCATCCTGTTAGTGAGCTCAGAGCTCACCTCCTGCACCGCTAAGTCTGCCTCACTTTCTAACATGGGAGGAGGAGGAGGAGAATTGGCACCCCACCCTCAGCCTGACCTGCGGCCAGCTCCCACCCTTTCCCTAGATTCAGGCACTCGGGGGTCATGAGCATCCTCTGCCCCAAGGAAGCTCCAGCACCTTGGGATAATCCACCCTAGCTGGGAGCCACCTGCGAACAGCCCCGCCACAGGCTCCTGCCCCACCTGTCATGAGGTTGGACCGGAGCAGCAGGTCCTTGATCAGGTCGTAGGTCACCAGCTCGGTGCAGTTCACGATGGCGTTGCGGGCCACGTTGGGGGACATCCCTGTGCGGGCAGAGAAACGGGTCAGCGAGGTGGGAGGCCGTGCTGGACCCAGCCCCGCACACCCAGCTTGGCCCCAGCACTGACCTTTCCACAGCCCTCGGAGCCCCTCTTCCCTGGCAATGGTCTTGTAGGCATCCAGGGTGCCCTGGTACCGCCTGCCGCCCTCAGTGCGGGCCTGGGCCTGGAATCGCACTTTCACCACATCTGTTGGCTGGGCCACGGCCACGGCCATGGCCCCCGTGGTGCATCCCGCCAGGAGCCTGCTGCCAATGCCAGCATCTGCAAGGAGGGCGAGAGATGAGAAGTCAAGCCAGGGAGCCCATCATGAGCACAAGCAGAGTAGATTTGCACCTCATCGCTTAACTAGAGCAGGGCTGTTCAGCCCCCGGCCTACGGGCCAGATCCAGCCCTGGGCACCACGTCGTCCGGCCTGCAAGGCTCCTGCTGGGCCTCTAAATGCTGTGGCAGAAGAGTGGTGACACTGTTCGCCCACTGCCAAATCTCTGGGGGAGACCCCTGGGGAGCTCCGGGCCCTGTGTGCTGGATCCAGCATCTGATCCCAGGGTGCAGGGTTGGGTGGCGGCAGCGCCAGGTGCCAGGGCTCAATCCCAGCACGTGGTGGGCAGGAGAGGACAGCTCCAGGCATCAATCTTAGCATGCGGGAAGGTCGTGGGGCCTGATCCGCCCCCCCCCGATGGGCCCCATGCCACACATCTGGCCCACGGGGCCACCAGGCTGAGCACCCCTGCCGTAGAGCATGCGCTGCCACGAGCCCAAACTTGCTCCACACAGCCTTGCCATGAGCTTGCCCAGCTCTTTGCAACAGAAGTGCTGATCCATTACTTTTCCAGAGACAAAAAGCGAGTGAAAGCCAAGAGCAGCATTTTCCAAGGGGGGGGGGACCTTGAGTCTGAAGGGGTCGAGAGCAAACCACGCGCTTAAGCCACAGGCCCCATTACTGTCGCTCAGAGGTTCCCGCACAAGATCCTGCCCCTGGAAGGAGGCAGAGGCCACGCTGGGGGGGACAGAGGCACTCACGCTCTGCGCCCTTGGTGTAGAACTGCTTGACCGAGTCGTACAGCCCGATGCGGACAGAGGCAAAGCTCATCTGACGCTGCAGCCCGGCCACTAGCCCATTGTACAGGCTCCTGGGACCCTCTGTCTTCACCATGGTGGCTATGGTGCCAAAGACGCCCTTGTACTGGGCAGTCTTCATGCTCCCGGCTGCCTTGGTCTCGCCTTGGATCTGCACAGGGAAAGAGACTTTGCAGTGAGCCCCATGCATCAGACCAACCCCCCAAAAGCCGTGGCCCCTTGATCATTGAAACAGCAACTGCAAGTAGCTCTGTGAGGCAGGGCTGGGCAGGCTGGCACTGGCACATCAGATACAGCATGACCAGCTTGTAGCAAGAGAGGGGCTTCTTTAGTTTCCACAGCCTTTCCACCCCATGTCCGAGAGATCAAATGTAATATCCTGTCTCGGGGAGGCCTTGAGCCGTGCTGCCCAAGTACTCCCAGCCTGCTGCCTGCGTGCCTGGCAGATAGCGTGGACCTGCCACACACAACGGGCTCAGTGCAGGATCAACCGGCTTGGGAGGATCAGGCCACCGCGAAGCAAAGGAGCCAAACCAGCAGGGCTTTGCTGAGCGAGGGCCACGGAGGGGTAAGAGGTAAATGCCCGGTCTGTACAAGAAGTACTAGGAGCAGAGGGATGAACCTTGACGGTGACTTCAGACCCAGCATCAGGACAGGGGACTGGGCAGGGGAACGGCTGCCCGAGGGACGATGCAGTAGAGGCACCTGTTGCACTGGCTGCGGCCGGGCTGGTGGCTCTGCCTCTCTTGCTTCACTGCTACTGCTCTAAGGCCCATCGGCCAGGAGAGGACTCAGCTCCGGACGTTCATTTGCCAGGGCCCCAGGGCACCTCACCTGCAGCCTGACTTTGGCTGTGTCCAAGGGGAAGGTGATGATGTCGGCGATGCAGGCCGCCGTCCCGGCCCCCACGAACTTCACCGCGGCCGTTGGGGGCACATCAGTGGGCTTGAATCCGACCATCCTGCTCACTGCTCCGGAGACGGCGACTGGCCGTCAAGGAGGAGCAAGGAATCACGCAGTGCTCGAAGGGAGCGGAGAGCGTGACGCACGGACTCTGCCCCTGTCTAGAGGAGAACAAAAGGTGTGAGATGTCCCAGGACCCAGAGCACAACCCAGCGAGCTGCAGCACAGGCCGCTCTTTCAAAGACTGTGGTTTCACAGGTCACCAGTGCCAACCAGCCAGTGCCACCAGGCCCATCGCAGCAGGAGCAGCCTCCGCTGGTAGCTTGGAGGATGCTGCTGTCCCAGCAGGAAGGTAGGACGAGTGGAGAGGTCAAATGCATGTAATACTGTGTTACCTGGTGACCGTCTGGGCTGCACAAGGGTTCCCAGCCTATGGCCTAAACATATCTTTCTCCTCCTGTGCTATTATGCCCAGAACGCCCTTAACTCTGCCCCTGCTGCCTGCCAGCGGCAGGTGGTGAAGAAACAAGTGTCTTTGAACAGTCTCCTTCTCATTGCACTGATGAGATACGAGCAGCGCCCTCACCCCCCTGCTTTACCCAAGGGCAAGTTGAAGGGTACTGCTGACCTCTCAGGTGTTGTGCCTGGCACCTGCATACAAGAGGCGTTCACAAAGTTTTTAAGACTAGGCAAAGACAAACCAGCGTGAGATGGCTCCGGCAAGGCCTGAGCAGGGGGTTGGGCTAGATGTGACCCCCAGCCCAGTTTTTCTACAGTTTTATGACTGCACTTCTCCCTGGGGACATCACGTAGGCCAGATGAGAGGCAGGATGCACTTAATTTGTTCCCTGCCTTATTATGAAGCACTTGGGGGTTTGCAAATGCTGCTACAGGCAGCGACAACCCACGAGCAGCTTTCACAAGCTCAGGTTCCTCCTTCTCCTCTGGCGTGGGGATGGGGGAGGGATCAGCGAGAGGCTTTGGTGCCGAGCATGTGCATCTTGCAACTCTGATGGTAAAATTTCAGTTCCTCAAACCCGGCGTTGGCTTTCCTGGGAGTCCTGCAGGCTCTGGGCTGAGTGGGCAGAAGCGCGAGTAATGCCGTGTGACAGCCCACACACCCGACGGTGACCTACGTCCTTGCGGCTAACACTTCCCCTGCTCTGTCACCCTGATAAGGGCTTGTTTTGTTGAGCTTGTTGCCTAGCCTCCGACAGGATGGATCCCCTGGACCAGCGCAAAGCTCCGACACAGCAGCCACGGGCCAATCCGCGCAGAAACCACAACCACACTGTCCAGGAAGCAGCAGGCTTGCAGCAGCTGCAAACACGGTGCCCGGACATGGGACCCCGGGGAACAAAACTGATGTGTGGTGGGAACCAACTGAGCCACTTTACTCTGCATGCAACACAGCTGCAAGGCAAGAGCAGGCCGTTAGCCTGGGACTTTGCAGCTGGGTAGTTACAATGCCCACGAGGTGAACGGGTGCCCAGGTTCTCCGAGAGCCCTGATAAAATTCAGTGCATGGATCAGGTGCGTACAAACGGAGCAAGTCTGGACTGAGCGCTGCCCTGGCGGATGCCTTCCTGCCAGGAGGAGCTGCTGCAGAAACAAGTCCAGGGAGCCATTGCAGTTCCAGCTTCCATGGGGTGAATTCGGGGCACTTGCTCTCACAGCACGAATGCTAGAAGTGGGGGGGCCTCGCCACCCAGGATGGGCCCTTGCCTCAAGCCCAGGCCTAGAAATCCCAGCCAGGCCATGTACGTGCATGTGTGTGCATGCATGTGGAGGGGACACTATGGGGAGGGGTGTGGTGTGTGTATGTAGGGGAGTGTACAGGGGTGTAGGGTGTGTGTGTAGGGGAGTGTATGGGGGTGTAGGGTGTGTGTAGGGGAGCATATGGGGGGGCCTGCAGAGGGGTGTGTGTGTCTGTGGGCTGGGGAAGGGAAGTGAAGTGCAGCAGCAGGGTCAGGGGGCTGTGTGGGAAAGTAAGGGGCCTTTCATTTTAATCATGGATTTTGGGGATTTTATCAGAGAATTTGTAATTTTTTCTCCAAGATTTTTATCAGGGAAAACCATAATCCCTGACCATCAGTATATCCCAGTTAATATCCTCAGCCTTAACAGCAGCCACCCCCTGATGCTGCTAAGGAGGGCCAGCCTTCCCACCCCAATACCTACAGCAACTGGATGGGAAAACTTTACTTCCTGTCCCCATGTGACAACCAACAAATGCCAGGAAGCATGGGAAAAGCAAAACTCCCTCCATTCTATACTGCTACCTG